ATTTGGGATCAACACACTGAACACTTCTGCACCCAGAGGTGAGCAGAGCATGCCAATTCCATTCCTACTGCAGGGAGTTCAATAAAGTTCCACACTTTGTGACTTCAAAAAGGTGATGCTGCTGCTGCCATCCACTTCTGTACTGCTGCGTGAGGGTAGGTATCAGCAAGGCCAGGTACCTGTGCTGTACCCATGTGCCCAGCGTGACTCAAAGCTCTGCAGCTCTGATAAAGAAATTATAACCAGGCATTTGACATGTCCTCCTGGGAGGTGAAAAATGCACGTTTAGGTCCTTCACCTCGTAACCCTGCTGTAACAGAAACTGGCAGGTTTTCGTGACTGAAGGGCATACACCCCTTTTACCATTAGCAAACACCGGTTAGTCACAAGAGGTGATGTAGTCACTTACATACACAAGGAACAATTGGACTTTGGCATTAGAGGACTAACATTAACAGGCATTCCTGTCTGAGGAAAGAAGATGATTTCAGACACACCCCTGTCTATAATGCTACGTACTGCCGGGGTTAGTAACTTCTGCCCATGCAGAAGCTCTGATTAAGTTAGCCTCACTTTGCAGGCTTTCACTCCTCTTCCCACACAATCCTCTGTACTGTGTAGGCATACGGTAAATCTGATTACAGAGCTGGCCCAGATGAAAAAACGAACCCCAATTATTTTCTTGCAGGGTTTTACTTATCAGTTCTGATGAGAGTCACCACATGCAGTGAAATGCTCAGCAAATGAAAGACAGTGTCATGACCTGACACTGACCATCATACTGTAAACACAGCTAAACAGGCTGTGAACTGTGGGGTCTGAGCATTTAATGACTAACTTGTAATGACACTTAGTGGTGTTGTGTTCCTCTTCTGTTGAGGATTTGTCCCTTTCTGAATTTGATTTGCAAGGGATAGAAGCATGCTGTTCAGTACACCACTGGTGATATTTGCTGTGGTGTTAGTAAATACCTTGGACAGATGTTAGCACAGTACATCTTACCCCCTCACCCTCACTGAACAGGACTTGACACTCTTTCCAGATGCAGTGAATAGGGCACCAGTGGGTTGTTTGTCACTTGTAGAATTCCTGTGTTTTCAGTCTGCTGATAAGGGGAACTAGAATTCAATCAACTCCTGTTAGAGGGTAAATATGAATCAATCAAAATGTGTATAATGAATGAAACTTCAGAATGCAACTGAAGTTTTCTGTGTTCAGGATGCTGATCTGGGATCGTTTGACTGGAATCTCCTTTGCCCCAGTTGTTTTTCTTCTTCTAGAATAAGGAGAAAAGGTAGATTTTGGAGAATTCTGGCTAAGTGGTGTTTGCCCTACTTCCTTCATAGGCAATGTGGAAGACATCTGACTTGTATTAGCAAAGCAGTAGTTTTCAAACTAAGACCCACTTTTCCCTGGGCAGTTGCAATGTGACTAAAGACAAATTTGTGTAGGCTGCAACTGAAATTATGTACCTGCAATTGCTAAAGCAGCTGACATTGCCACTGGAAACTTCTTGGAATTCTACAGGTTTCACAGTAGATGCCTAGAATAAAACAGTATATAGGCACCAGTGGTATCACCTGTACTTCCTTTTGTACTTCTTGCCAGTTAAAAGAAAGCAGAAAGATCAGACTATTTACAAGCATGTTACACTATTTATCTTCGACAGCTAGGGTATGTGGAGGATAAATAATGCTTTGACATCAAAATATTTATCACATTTTGAGTGTTCCAATAATAAAGGAAAAAAAAAAAGCTTTTAAGAGAATATGGCTCCAACAGCACCAGGGTAGTGGTGGTGTTTATTATTATAGTGAGGATGAGTACCCTATCACCATGCATTTGCATTTATCCAGCTTCGAGCAACCATTACTCTCTATTTGCTTTATCTTCATTTGTTGTGACACATTCATAATCATGCCGAAATGGTACGGAAGTCAGGTCAATGTAATAAAGAATCTATCACAGATCTACATGAAGCATAAATAGCACTTCAGTGTGCTACTGGTTGCGTTGTTCCACTACAGGTGCCAGTATCTACCCAACAACAAATGTCAAAGGCTTTCTGGAAATTAAAGTAGACCAAAATACAGTATAGCCCTAGGTAAAAAACAGTTACAGACTAGCAGTACACTCGGGCAGCACAAGTACTGCAGGCAAGCAAAAGTGAGACCACTTACAAAGTTGTTCTTATGACTGAACGACTTTGGCTTCCTTTGAAAATATCCAGCTTAATGTTACCCAAAGCACACAAACAACACCAGTCCCAATTCTGCACTCCTGGAATTTTGCCAGCACTCACAAACTGGTCCAAAATAATGTGTGGCAAAATGGAGACATCCTCATATGAATTAGGGTAGTTCCGTTTCTGGACTTGAATCAAGAGTAACGATTCCACCTGGGTCTTCTCTGACCCAGGACTGTGGAAGACACTAATGTGACTCTTTAAAAAGGGTTTCTTTGCCTGAAGGCTAATTTTAGCCTTTCATCATACAGACGAGTAAACTGAAGATATTTGGCGAGTTTCATTTTGTCAAGTTTTAGTCTGTTAGTTTATTACTTGCAGCAAGCCTTTGTACAAGCTAGAGAAAGAAGTCAGGTCTCCTACCTTCCAAGCTTCAACTCTGATCATAAGGTCAGCTTCAGTGTTAAATGTTATTAATTTCCAAGTATTACTACAAAGCACATTCTGTTTACACCTTTTTGCAAATTACATGAATGGCTTGTTGGTTTGTTTGGGTTGTGGTTTTTTTTTTTACACTTCCTTGTTTTAAGCGAGTCACTGTAAACAATACAACCCACAAAAAGAAAGCAGCAGCCAACACTGTATTTCATCACTGTCGCTGGGTATCATTAGGCTCCTGAATTTACTGCTTTACTACAGTAACATAGTAACTCCCACTATTCTAATCCAGCAGTTAATTTTTCTTCTCTGAAGAGCTCTTGAGGGTGCAGCAGTTTTTAGTCAAGCACCTAGACTCTGACCCAAAACTGTGTACCTGAAAGACCTTTTGACCTCTTTCAACAATAGAATGTGCAGGGGAAGCAAGAAAAGTATTTATTTAAACAGCACTGCACCTTTCAAGCCCTTGCTCTTCTTGACTGTAGGGAGTTATATGTTCCAAGACAAGCGAGTAAAGCAACGTACTCCTTTGCCAGTATGTATCACCCAGGATGCTCTCCATCCTTTCTCCTTGGAAGTGTTTGTGCACACGAAAAGTCTTAAAATTTCTTTGGAATTACTGGATCAAGCGTCAGATTTTTGAAGCTGCCTAAGGAAGCTTACATTACGAATTGCTGTTTCATATGCATTAATTTATTAAGCAGTATACTAAATCTGGTGTTTCATAAGCAAGTGTTTGCTTAATTCATCAGATGACAATAACACTCAAAAAGCTGTGTTTCCATACTTCTACAGAAGTATACCAGCCACACAAACATGCCAGTCTTCAAAGGAGGCATATTAATCCATGCCAAGAAAACACCTGCAGTCATATTTTTTTTGTGGTGTGTTTTGAGGTTGCTGAAGGTTGGAGAACATGCTCCATCCTTGGCAGTGTTCAACGCCAGGTTGGACAGCTGCCCATGGCAGTGGGGTTGGAACTAGATGATCTTAAGGTTCTTTCCAACCCTAACTATTCTATGATTCTATGTGCTGATCACTATCAGTGGTGCACCGACGGCAATATCACACCAACCGGACTCCCTGATTCCCACCCATAAGTTGATCCATAGACTGGAGAGTAAAGGAGTGATCAGCAGGAACCACTCACCCTTTAACAGCCCCATATGGTCAGCGTAAGTCTAATAGAGAGTGGAGACTAACAGTTGACTATCGTGGCCTGAATGAAGTCACACCACCATTGAGTGCTGCCATACCGGACATGCTAGAACTTCAGTATGAACTAGAGTCAAAGGCAGCCAAGTGGTATGCCACGATTGATATTGCCAATGCATTTTTCTCAATTCCTTTGGCAGCAGAGTGCAGGCCACAGTTTGCTTTTACTTGGAGGGGTGTCCAGTTCACTTGGAACTGACTGCCCCAGGGGTGGAAACACAGCCCTGCCATCTGCCATGGACTGATCCAGACTGCACTGGAATAAGGGCAAACTCCAGAACACCTGGAATACACTGATGCTGCCATGGTGTAGGCAGTACCGCTGCAGCTGAACTCAAGACCCTTGGCTATACTAGTATTCTTGACTATAGGTAGAACACATTTCACAAGCCCAAGTCTCCTTCACACCCTGGAAAGGGTACCACCCTGGAAGGGCCACGTTCACCCCAGTGAAACCCCTTCCGTGCAGCATGGCTTCACATGGCCAGGTTATCTCATCATACCCAAAGCATACCCTCGGGTGCAGATCTTACGCAGAACAAGCACACAAAGCATAGCGGCTTGTTTACACGGGCTTCCCTAAATCCTATACTTCCCAAAGCTCAGTACTGCCAAACCGGTTCCTCCAGATTTCCTCCGAGGCCGCCGCGTGCCCTATCCTCACTCTGGCACCGTTCCAGCCGCCACACACGTCTTTCTGAGCTCCTCGCCGCACAGTAAGGATCGTTCCTGCACCAGCCCCGCAATACGCATCTAGCCCAGCCACACGAAACCCGCCTGCTCCCAGCGATCATCTCTCCAACAGAGACTCTTCTCTTCAAGATCGAAAGCACGTTATAAATGGTGCTACCTTTAAAGTGGAGAGAGCTGCCCGATAACCCCCGCCCAACACGTTGCTTCGTCCTTGAGCCCTGAGCCCTTCCCCCGGCCTTAGCCTCAGCCTCAGCGAGGAGCCAAGGGGCCCCGTAAGCCCCGACCGCCGCCCCAGACAGCAGCTCCCCTTCCCAACGCCAGCCCGAACAGCGGCAGCGGAGCTCCAGCTCGGCTTCCCGGCGCCGGCAGCGCATCGCCCTTTCTTTCCGCCCCGCCCCCGGGCTTCCGGTCAGCCCCACGCCGGGGCGGGCAGGCGGTGTAAAGGTTGGCCCGTCCTCCCCACCCGGTTCCGTGGTGGTGCTTGTTTCCTCCTGCTGCAACCTCTCGCTCGCCGCGGGGCTGTTAGCGCCGGTCAGGTGGGGTGCCTTCTGTGTCCTTCAGCTCCACAGGCAGAGGTACCCGCGGCTGTCCCGGTGCTGGGGAGGTGGGGAGCGTGGGTCCCGGGGGTGAGAGAAGGTGGTGAGCGGGTCACCGCTGCTCAGAGCTGCCCGTGCGGTTTGGGGCTTGAGTGGTGTCAGTGCGGTTAGCAGAGGAGAGTAGGGCTGCCCAGCGGCTTGCGGGTGGTGAGGAGGGTATCGTGGCACAGGACCAGTACGGTTCTGGGGAGACCCAACCCTAGAGACGCAATGAGTAAATTCATGCTTGCCAAACTCCACTCAGATGACTGGGTGAGCAACCTTTAATCCCTTTGGGTAGTAGAAGTGTTTTGTGGTTCAGGTGCCAGCCTTAATGCTGCCCTTGTGTTTCCTGAGCACTTGGGAGTCTGCAAGAGCCTCTCGGCTGTAAACATTAGCACACCTACCAGCAAGTCTGTGCTGGCAAAGTTATTTGTGCTTGGAAAGAAATCTGTGTGATAAGCTATTGTAAATCCTCTGATGCTTCACTACAATATAAAAACGCTCCATAGTTATGTCTGTTTGGGTGTAGCATATTAAAAAACAATGCATGGTATCAGAAGGGATCTGAGATCTTTATTTGTGCTGATGGTACCCTTGGTTAATTCACCTGTAAACAGATCCCTGCTTGCTCCAGTTGAGGAGCCAAAATCAGCCTTGGCTAATGTAATTGTCTATGGATATGCTTGGTTACAGTAGCTGTGTAATTAGCAGTGCTAATGCAGTGAGAATGGAGGACACTTGGCCCAGTCAAAGCTGGGCTGGCAAGAGATGTGTCAGTGGGAATTAAGCATCTCATTGAAGGATGCGGAGTTGGTGATCTAACAGAAAGTCCCCTGTGGTCTGTATGCCTAAACCAATTCTATTTCTCTAAAAGAAAGTCGGTACTTCCCTAAGATTTAATCAGCCTCTGCCCTGTGCAAACCTAATTCATTATTATTTTGCTTAATAAATTGCTAACCCAAGTTCTAAACTGGGTTTAGGTCAAATTGTGTATTATATTTTGAAGGTAATTGCTGCCCTTAGTTTTCCATAGGGATTAACTACAACATTCTTATCTATTTCAGAGATACCAGTCTGCTTTCAGAGTGTGTTGAGTCAGTGTACTCAAGTTAAATTCAGCAACTACTTATTTATTGCTTCTGTTTTAGGTCCAGCAAAGAACTCTGTTTCCAAAAACTTGCAGGTTTCTTGATGCACATGAAATTTAGTAACACTTTTCCTGTACAGCTCTGGTTTTGTTTATATCTGTAGCAGCTCTATGTGAGCTTACTGCAGGAAATGTCAGTGTTGGCTCTAGAAAAATATTCCTGTGCTGATTTGATGTTTCTTCCATTTCTTACTGGTGTTACTGCCTCTGCACGCATTTTGTCCCTTTTAAAAAGGGAACAAAAAAAAACCCTTATCCTGTGGCTTCTCTTCAGAAAGAACTTGTTTCCCTACCCACTAAGGTTTGATGAATGCTTTTCTGTTATTGGAATGTTTTTGTTATGTCCTAATGCTTCTGACAAGAAAACTCCCTGAAGTAATTTGCTGTGTTTCAGCAGAGGCCTGTCCCTTTTCAGGTCTTTCCTTGCTTCCTATGTATAAAGCCAGAGACTCATGATAACACCTGTATGTCCACATGCTGAATTTCATGAACTTTGCTCAGAATAGCAGAGATCTAAGTAACTTATCTCTTTGGTACTTGTCAAACATGATTACCTATACACATAGATAGCAGTGTTAACTAAGAGATGTGCTCAACCTGGGAATGAAGTGCTAAAGGTTGAAGTGTAAGTCCCAGTGTGCTCTACATTTAGCTGAGAAGGAAGATATTAATCCATAGTTAAACCACAGTTAGTCAATAGCATTCTTTCAAGGACTTAAATTCCTGCTTTGTGTAAGCATTACTGACGAGTACAGATTTTGAAGTTAACGCATACCTGAGATTCAAGCCCATGACATTTGCTTAATGCAGGAAGGTGAAGAGAAGAAACTCTATAGGTTTGCAGTGTGTCCCTAAACAAAAAACTATTCAGTTTTAAAAGTAGGCTCTCCTTCATAATAGTAGTACTGGTAGTTTGTAAGCAAATAGTGACAGCTAGGTGTGGTTTGGAGGTTTTTAAGCATATTGTATTCTGAAGCTTCCTATGCTGGCAGTTTGTCAGCAGGGTTGAGGCTGTGACTTGGTCTGCATATGATTTCTTAATTACAAGGAGTGCCTACAAAGCAAAAATGTCATAGTTCTAAAAGGAGAAATTTTTCCTGACCTGAAGAACTAGCCTGTGAGCTCTGAAGTTGTTTGATCAAGCTGTAAGGTTTGATTGGTAATTGCCATGAATTTCTGCTTAAGATGTTCAGGGTGTAGCCATCACTTTTTTGAGTTCACATGCTGACAGAGCAGAGATGTAAACCCATGACATGAGGAGTAGGGAATTGCTGAAGCAGATGAGGACAGGTGTCTCCTGCCTCTGCCAAATGTTAAATCAACTGTATGCTGTGTTCTGGAAGGCAGTTGAAGCAACCTGGTGATGATACAGGAGGGACAAATGTGTCTGATGTGCAGATACAAACCGATATAGCTTTTTGAAGCAACGCTCAGAAGCAGGCTACAGGAAAATATGTAGAATGGATCTGAAAATGCATTTTGAAATACTGATGTTCCTTTTTTTTCTCATTAAGGCTTAACCTGTCTGAAAAACATTTTCTTTTACCAGGTATCTGAAGAAATATTCTCAAGATGAACTTCTTCCTGGAAACACTCAAAGTCACTGGACTACTTGTCTATTACTTGCTGGAGTCACTAGTGTTCTCAATTGTGCCTAAACGGAAGAAGAGTGTTAGTGGTGAAATAGTATTAATAACAGGAGCAGGAAGTGGCATTGGGAGACTCTTATCCTTAAAGTTTGCCAACCTTGGAGCCACAGTGGTTCTCTGGGACATTAATCAAGAGGGGCTTAAGGAGACAAGTAAACTGGTCAAAGAAAATGGAGTGGTGAGAGTGCACTCCTATGTCTGTGATTGTAGCAACAGGCAGGATGTCTACAGGGTAGCTGATCAGGTAAGCATCATTTGTGGCTTTGATGCTATTGTAAGATGAGTGCATGCACATATGTATGGTAAGTTTTGGTGACTTCAAAGCAAGAGATTAAAGTGGATTGATTCAGAATGTACTTCACATGCTACCTTTTTCAATAATACTGGTTTTTAGAGTTGACTTGTGTACGTCTGCTCCTTTAAAAAGGGCTGGTTCTCTTTTTCAGTAGCTCATTTCAACTGAGGAGCTTCTCATTCATTCAATTACTGAGCAAGATCTTACTGGTGAAGTGCAGAAAATCGGTTTATTGAAGCTAAAGCAGTGTTTAAAGTGCTGGCAGGCTTTTTACCAAAAGTAAACCCTAAAGACCATACATTGTAAAAAGGATTAACTGCTTTGGCAGTTTTCAGATAGCTCCATGGCTGTGAATAGATGCTTGCAGGCCCACTTTATCAGCATTAATAAATGTATCCAGAAGTCTTACATATTTCATACTTTCCTTTCTGAAGAGCTTTGTAAATATAGCACGTGGTTAAATATTTTGGGCAGACAAGTAGAACTGCCAGAAGCTAAAATTGCTTAACGGTTTCCATTATAACAACCTGTCTTCATTTGCTTAACATGTTGCTAATCTTAACTGCTGGACTGGGAGACTTCCACAGTGAGTGTTTGCCTGAGGATGAATTCTTAAAAAAACAATAAAGATTCAGCTGTCTTCAGGAACATCTGTTGGCTGCGGTGGTGTTCCTCTTTTGGTGCTGCATAAGAAGCTTCAGCCTTCTGCATTTTTATATCTGCAAAAATGACTAGAACAAACTTCTTGATAAGAGGAGCTTGTGCATGACTTAAAGCTTGTTCGAGGGTGATGCTGTTGGTTTTGTAATGCTGGTCACCCTTGGTCCCCTGTGCAGCCTCATTATGCTGCCTGAGTTGCACAGCTGCTGTCCCTGTGGAGCAGTTGCACATGTCTCACCACAGCCCTGCAACTGTGCTTCCTGCTCAGCTGGAAGCAGTGGAGGAGGGAGTATTCCAGTGTGAAGGACACTGGAATGAAGAAGGTAGAAAATAACCTTCAGTTTTCAGGACTCAAGGGCTAGCCATTCTGTCCCATGGAGGAAAGTAATAGCAGAGCCATTCTAGCCAAACAGAAGAGGGTGTAGCAGAGTATGTAATACGGATTTGGGATGACAAAACCAGAGGTAGACAGGAGCCTAGCACAAGAAGTGGTAAGAGGGTCTCAGTGCATGATTCCTCACTAAAAATCTTCTGTCAGCAGTTCATTAACAGCTAATCTGCTAATAATCCTCCTGCTGAGCCACATAGAAGAAAAGACCCTACTATGGTTATTTCAGAAATGTCATGCCCTACTGACAACTGATGTAGAATCATACTGACAACTTTCCTATCTTAGTTGACAACAAGACTCTAGTATTGGTGCTTGGTGCCACTGTTCACTTAATGCAGTGCAGTAGACTTTGGATCATAGTGTTCAGTGTTGGGCTTTGCAAGATGAGGCAGCATGGTTCCAGGTTTTGTTCCCCCCGCCCTGTGATTCAGCTTCACACAAAGATTTGGAGTTTTGCAAGACTATAGTGAACTAAATTCATGCACACAGGGCAGGATATGGTTGAAAACTTTGTGCCTATTAAAACAATCTCAAAGCCAATACAAAATGTATGTATACCTTAAATACCTGCTTCTGGTACTTCATGAGCCACAGAGAGACCTGGAAATAGCCATTCCACTAGGAAGAAAACCAAAAAGCTCTGCACATGGTGGTGTCCTTGTTCCTTTCCTGTACCACCAGGATGAACAACAGTTTTTGGCTGTCAGGAAACTTAATTATAATATCCTTGTTCCAGAAGTACCCAACCCCAAAAGGAATGTGGCCTTCTTTGACCTACTCCTCCCTCCCTTGACTTCAGCTGAACTTTTAAGAATCTAGAGCTTTGAAAGAGGGAGTAACTCTATGGGTATTTTGATCCTGCTACTTTTGAAGAACCAGAAATCTTTTCCTCATTATGTTGCAAAATGACATCTGGGTTCACATTTACTTCCAGGATCCCCTGCATATTATCTCTTTTGCTTATCCATTGTCTTTTCTGCTTAGTCAAGATGACAGCTTGCAGCCAGTTTTCCTCTTTTCTCAGAATGCTTTCCTTTGCAGAGGAGCAACAGTAGAAGCATGCTTCCTGGTGGTATTTTGCGCTGCCTATAGAACACCCGGTGCTTTCTTCCACCTCTTGTAGGCAGTTTGGAGGGGTTTGTGGTTCTTAGAAAGCTGTTTTGGGATGGTCTTTGGGAACTGTGGTAACTGCTCACTACTAAACTTCAATATAAAAGCATAAATATAAATGCAGAAACAAACAAGAAATAGTGTTTGTACCTCAAAAAGATGTTTAATAAGATCAGCTGGAACATACTTTCCTGCACTGCACAAATGGGGAGGTTTAGAGCTTTGGCAAGCTCACCTCTTCCAGCAATTAGGGGAAAGGCTCAGTAAAGGTCTCCTAGACTTTGCCTCAAAGCAGAGTGGGGAAGCCTGGGCTGAGTGTCTTGACAATCAGCAAAAGACTCGAGTACTGTGCAACTTCAGCCTTCAAGTTGTATGGCAGCACTTTTTCTGTGCTCAAGTTGCTCTGTGGAAAACATAAGAGGGTTTGAATATAATGCAAGGAACCTCCCAAGTGAACGTTTAGATATTGGAGCCCTCATGTATATTTGATGTACCTCATCCTGGTGAATTTGCATGAGTATCTATGTACTGTGCCTCACCGTGTGGCATAAGAATGGCCTTGTGAGCAGGATTGCCTGTTGGTTTTAAGATGGTTCACTATATCGAAATACTTGTGTTAATTAAACTCTCTGCAGTAGAAACTTGTCTGGAACAGTCACAGCAAGAAGCAGAGCTGCTGAAAGCAGAAGCCTATGTGGAGCTGTTGGGCTTCATACCTCCAAACTAATTCCAGTTGTGAGCTCGGCTCTGGAAAGACATCGGGTGGGAACATGCAAGAACCTGAGATGTTTGCATCTGTAACAAGCATAAGAAGTTCAAGTTGATACATGTTATGTTTCTGTTTGTTATGTTTTCATATGTAAAACTTAGAAGGCATATTTTGTATTTATTGCATTATATCTCGAGGCTTTTCGTTTTAGGTTAAAAAAGAAGTTGGCGATGTTAGCATTGTAGTCAACAATGCTGGTGTTGTAACTGGGAAGAGATTTATTGATTCTCCAGATTCACTTGTGGAAAAAACTATGGAAGTGAACATAATGGCACACTTCTGGGTAATACCTGTACTTTGCATATACGTGCTAAGACATTGGTTAAACATGTTTTCAGTGTTAATTTTGCCTTTTGGAATTGAGAGAAATATGAAAGGATATATAGATCCTTGTAACTTCATTCAGAAATGATATGAGAAATTGCTTTCTATGGAAGTCTGTAAAATAAGAGTGCAAGAACAGATCCTTTGGGATCTTCTGGGGTATGTAGATAGAAGCAAAACTGTTTCATATTTAGAAATGCTCTTAAGATTGAAGTTTACCATTTGCTGAATTCTGAAGCTAGTCATAATCTCAAAATTAATAGTTATAATCTCAAAATCAATTGACATGAAGGAGGCTCAGCCTAAAAGTTGCTGCTGTCTGCTAACAGGGAAGTGTTCAGTTCTGCTTGTGTTCTAGTTGCTTTGTGGTTATAATAGTTTCAGCAAGAAATACCACATGTTCAGACAATGCTCTTAAGTGGGGCTTTTGTCCAAAATGAGTAACTTAATGTGCTTTTTCTTCCAGGGAAGGCAGGTCATCTATATGGTGTTCCTATCATAAATAATTGCAAAGGAGATATTAGAACATAGAATCATAGAATAGTTAGGGTTGGAAAGGACCTTAAGATCATCTAGAATTAAGATCATCTAGAACATGCTTCAGTTTCTTCATAAATAAATTTAATCACAAAGATTAAATGAATTTAATAGAAGGAAAAAGTGAAACTCAGAGTTTTGCCATTTTACAAAATTCACAGTGAACACTTAATTCTCATTTGAAGCATTGCAGTGCTGAGCTTTAGGCTGAAAGAAACTTAACAACTAGCTGAAGCTGTATGTTTAGCTTTCAGCAAGTTACATCTGTCTGTGGTGTTGAGGACAAACTGGCACTGGTGGGGCCTGGAAAGTCCCAGCTTTGTAGCTGAAGGTTGGAGTTCAAACAACAAACTCCTTCCCCCTTATTTAAACTGTAGGGCGAATTTCTTTATAAACAACACCTTCAGAATATTATAGCACATATCTTACTTAGTAACATATTTCATTGCAACTCTGACTTCTGTTGCAGACTTACAAAGCCTTCCTCCCAGCAATGATAGCCTCTAACCACGGACACTTGGTTAGTATTGCAAGTTCAGCGGGACTGACTGGAGTCAATCTTCTTTCAGGTGCTGTATTAAAGCTGTTATTCACCTAGAAAATTAGTCTGATTTAAACTCTACAATCAGTACTCATGAAAATAAATGCTGATTTTGAGTTTCTGTGTCTGCGTACAGGTCAAGTAAATGGTCACACTTTCAAACTAGCTGACCTTAAGCAGACCATTCCTTTCAAATGAGTTTTCACTCACAGTGCTGTGAAATAGGGTTTTCTGCCAAGGCAGTTAGAGGATCTAGGAGCCATGTAGAGCTTTGGAAACCAAGAACTTCAGTGGTACTAAAATTAACCCACAGGTATTTGGTAGGGAAGAGGCCATTTGGTGGTTTGGTTTTGGCAAGTATGTTCCCAAGCTAAGCAGAGCCCTGTACGGGCTTCCCTGATTCAGAGAGCTACTAAAATCCCGGTGTGGTGCAGAGGTGTGATATCTCATTTTGCATTCTCTGTCTCAGCCATTCATTCAAGACAGCCCACACAACGATGGAAAGAAAGTGTTGAGATTAGGGTAACTCAGAAGGCATTTTGAAAAATGTATGCAAAGGGGGAGGAAAATGAAATAAGGTGACATAGCAGTAAAACAAGTGTAGCTTCAAGGCATTGATAAGACAAATCGAGTTTGGAGTTGAAACCACATTAGAGTCTTGAAAGCTTGAGTTTGATGCAAGAAGCTAGTGCATGAATTCAAAGATAAGGTCTGGTATGAAAAGGTCATTTCATTTGCTGTTGTTCAGTAGAGAGTGGAAAGGTGATTTGCTGGGATGTGGTGAGAAACCCTTTGTCTGCCAGTCTAGAAACAACAGTTAACTCAGGAAGGGGAAAGTAAAGGAGTGAGTCACATCAAAGTCAAATTTCATTTGTAACTTAAACCTGAAAACAGTTGCTACTCTGTTGTAAAGTATTTTATTATTGGACGGTAATTTCCTGCAGGTACTGTGTATATATAATTTCTGTAGTAAAGTGTAGTAAAGTTGATACTGTTAAAAAACAAACGCCAATCTGTGGTGAGATAGTTTACTTGCTAGAACATAGTTTTGTCCCAGTTCTCTGTTATGTTACAGCTCCTGTGTGTGTATTCAGTGGCAGGACTTACTGAACCTGTTTAGTAAAGTTTAATTAGTAGATTAAAATGTTTAACTGCAATGTTTTGTTTATTTTACAGATTACTGCGCAAGTAAATTTGCAGCTGTTGGTTTTGCAGAGTCAGTTAATCTAGAGATGAGAAGACTGGGAAAGACTGGTGTTAAAACCACAATTGTGTGCCCTTACTTCATAAACACAGGGATGTTTGATGGCTGTAGCACTAAGTGAGTAAACCTGTGTGAGGTTTTTAATGCAACTTGCATGATTAGTATTTTGCATACTCCTATTTCCTTATGAAATTCATGATCTAGGCTTTTCTCTGCTTGTGTTATTTTTAGGGCCTCAGGTGGGTGTTAACAGTGCTTATCCAGTGAGTGGGCAACCCAAATGGCAAAGCCCTTGGTACTTTGATATTCATGTAAGCTGAAATGTGAAACTTAGTTGGTGTCCTTTCCTCTGCAGAAGCCAAATGCTCCAGCTGCCCTCTCTGTTTTCTAAACCCCCATTTGCCTCCTGAAATCAGTGGCATAGCTTTGCTAGAATGTTTGTATAATGACAGAATTTGAGGAGCTGAATAAAAGCCTGTTGTGTCTTAATATGAGGACTGCTTGTGTTACGAGAAATCATGCAAGGGGAAAGTAACAGTGGCCACTCACTCTCTACCGTAATGAAGGTTCTATTGTTCATAGGATTTGTGGTATTTATTTCTTCTTTTAGTTGACTAGCTGCAAAATTGAGACTTTTTGAGTAAAAAATTTGCTTTCTGAATCCAAAGCAATTTGTTACAGTAAGAAATGCCTTCTCTTCCAGGTGGCCACATGTGCTTCCCAATCTGGAGCCTGAGTATGTGGCTGAGAAGATAATCACCGCTGTTCGGCGGGACCAAGAAATATTGCTGCTACCGCGTGTTCTTTATTTCTTTTTTGCTTTGAAAAAGTAAGTTATGCCTCTCCTTCTTTCCCTCTCTTCTGCCCAGGTCTGTTTCAGCTATGTGCTTGACTAAAAGTGCCAACCAGGCTTCCACTGGGACAGAACTTACTGAAAATTCACACCGATGTTTCTGGAGTTCTGTCTTTTTTTTTTTTTCCTCATCTCTAGGGGTTCACTCTACCCTTGGACCACAGAACAGTGACAGGAATGTCTGACTTTGACCTGCTGACTCCATTTGCTGTAGTTTTACTGTGGGCTGTAGAGACTAGGCCTGCTTCTTAGTAACTGCATATCTGGTGTCTTGCTCTAGCATTAGGGCACTTCTGACTGGTGCAAGCCAGACTGGGGAATTGATCTGCCTAATAACTCAGGCTGCCAAGGGAGTGTAAGGGATATTTTGAGAGGACCAGTGGTAGTATATTCTAGAGAGAATACTGTCTTTGCTAGTATTTGCCAGGTAAAACTAATTCTGTGATAAAAATGCAGAACTCTACTAATGTCTGTTCTGGTTTGTTTATTTGTTAATGTTCTTTCTTCTTTTCAACTTCCCTGTCTTACAGCATCCTACCAGTGAAAGCTTCTGTTCTCCTTATGGAGTATTTTGGAACCCTCCATGTCATGGATAACTTCAAAGGTCGAGCAAAGAAGGACTGAAAAAGCACAAGATTCAGAGACCAGCAGCTCTAAAGTGGACCTTGCTGAAGGTGGTGGTGGTAGGAAAGAACTGTTTCTCTAGCAGCTGTGAACTGAAGGAGCCTCACCTCTCATTAGTAACAGGTTTTAAGAAAATTGCTTTTTAGTTGGCTCTTAATCAGTAGCTTTCACTCAAACTATTCATTTTTAATCCAGTGAACTGTTTTCTTTTCACCTTATTGTGAAAATACATTAACTGAAATTAGTCCTTTCAGTTATGTCTGCTGTAATGCCTTAAACATGATCCTGCATCACAGACTAATACTTGGCACTTCTGTGGGAGAAGGGACTGAGAAACCACATGTATTTGGCAGGGAGCCAGGAAAGCCTCTTGTAGACCTGACTTCTCACTATCATTCACTGAAATGTGAGGAGGGGCAGCACTGCTGGTGCTGTTGCCATTCGCTGGTAAGCTGAGAAATTCAAGAGCTTCCTGAAACAACAGATTTGAATTTATACAAATGGAAGCTTTGTGAAATGAAAATATGTTCTGTGTTGGTGCAGAAACAGAAACATATATCAATTTTTGGAGGTGGTGATCTTGGGACTCACAGAGGGATTGCTGTGAAGTCCTAACAAGAAGATGGTACATGAAGTGGCAGAGCATCTCAGTTGTGACAGCATCGTGTCTGACAGCATGAAGTACAATGCAGCTCCTGCAAAGGAATCCTTGGTTTCATGACCATTGTTTGAAACTTCAAATAGTCTCTAAAAAAAAATGACTGGGTTCCAAATTTGACTGGGGTGGCTGCATTGGTTTGACAGTTGCTGATTCAAAGACAGTACAGAACATGGTATTTTGTCGCCTGTTGTTTCTTTTCCATGTGAGTTCATGTTCCTGTGGTACAGAAATCTTACTATCCTGTAATGCTTCAAAGCACAGAGAATGTAATTTTTCTTGTCACTAACTTGATCCTCTGAGTAAAACTGGGAAGGAAAACAACAACAAAAAAGTAGCAGCTGAGATACAGGCTCTATTATTATTTACTTTATGGATTTGGAAATCATACCCCAGAGCAATAGGCAGCTGCTTGGAAACTGGTCTTCATGGTGATGTGATCTCATCTGAGGAAGGAGCCAAGCAGATTCCTCTTTTCTGGTAACTTTCCTGGGGCAGTTGATGCTCACCTGTGTGGACTGTGTGCCTCAGTAAGCAGCTGTCCAAAACCCTAAGCCTTCTAAAATAAATCTTTTAACAAAATAGCTTCTCTGACTGAGTTCTTCTTCCCTGTGACAGTCCGGTTTGGGTTCACAGCTATCAGATATTCTAGTGGAATGCAGAACTACTGTGTCTCTGGTGAGGCTTATGAGGATCACTGAAGTTTCAAAAGGTGGGGGAGCATTACAGGCAGTGGCTTTTGTCCACTCACTGTGTAACACCCTTTCTCTGTAATCCTAGGTATCTCCGTCTTAACAGATTTTTTTTCTGCTTGCCAAAGCCACCAAGCTCACATCCTGATGTTATGAAGATAGCATATACCTGAGGAAAATAGCTTTGTCTGGGGCAGAAAAGTAGAAAACTCCTTCACACCTTCTTCACTTGCCCTCAGCAATATTCACACTAGGAATAAGAATGTTCTCATGCTTGGGACACAGATGGATGAAAAAGGTATGACAAAGGCAAAGGCTGTGTGCCAAGGTGCCTTGCAGTGTTGGGTCTGCTGGGTACTTACTGCTTGATCAAAACAAACCTTGATTATTGGTACAGCTCTGTTGAGAGATGTCGCCCTTATCGAAGGTGGTGTGTCTTGAGGTCCAGTGGCAGCATTCCTGGCTGTGGCACAGAAAGGAAAATTAACAGAGCCAGAACATGAGCAGCAGCTACAGCACTGCTGGCAGATGCCTCCAATAGCAAAAAGAGGTTTTGTCTGTTGGCACCATAAACTTTATGCCATGAAGGTGCCATGATTTAGGCTGTGAAACCTGTGGGGAGGAATCAAGTCCATGGGACCTGATGAAATCCATCCACAGCTCCTGAAGGAGCTGGCAAATGAAGCTGCTAAGCCACTGACCATCGTATTTGAAAAATCATGGCAGTCAGGTGAACTTCCCAGTGACTGGAAAAAGGGAAATATAACCCCCATTTTCAAGAAGGGGAAAATGGGTGACCCCGGGAATTACAGAGCAGTCAGTCTCACCTCTGAGCCTGGCAAAATCTTGGAGCAGATTCTCCTGGAAGGCATGCTAAGGCACATGAAAAACAAGGTGCTTGGTGACAGCCAGCATGGCTTCACTAAGGGGGAATCCTGCCTGACCAATTTGGTGGCCTTCTACGATGGGGCTACAGAACTGATGGACAGGGGTAGAGCAGTTGATGTCATCCACCTGGACTTGTGCAAAGCGTTCGACACTGTCCCACATGACATCCTTGTCTCTAAATTGGAGAGACATCAATTTGATGGATGGACCACTCAGTGGATAAAGAACTGGCTGGATGGCTGCACACAAAGAGTTGTGGTCAATGGCTCAATGTCCGGCTGGAGACGAGTAACGAGTGGTGACCCTCAGGGATCGGTGTTGGGACCGGTCTTGTTCAGCATCTTTGTTGCTGACATGGACAGTGGGATTGAGTGCGCCTTCAGCAAGTTTGCTGATGACACCAAGCTGTGTGGTTCGGTTGATACGCTGGAGGGAAGGAATGCCATCCAGAGGGACCTTGACATGCTTGTGAGGTGGGCTGATGCCAGCCTCATGAAGTTTAACCATGACAAGTGCAAGGTCCTACACCTGGGTTGGAGCAATCCCAGGCACAGGTACAGGTTGGGCAGAGAAGAGATTCAGAGCAGCCCTGCAGAGAAGGACTTGGGGGTGTTGGTTGATGAGCAAATGAACATGAGCCGGCTTCAGTGTGCGCTTGCAGCCCAGAAAGCCAACCGTATCCTGGGCTGCATCAAAAGGAGCGTGACCAGCAGGTCGAAGGAGGTGATCCTGCCCCTCTACTCTGCTCTTGTGAGACCTCACCTGGAGTATTGTGTGCAGTTCTGGTGTCCTCAACATAAAAAGGACATGGAACTGTTGGAACAAGTCCAGAGAAGGGCCACAAGTATGATCAGGGGACTGGAGCACCTCCCGTATGAAGACAGGCTGAGAAAGTTGGGTCTGTTCAGCCTGGAGAAGAGAAGGCTGCATGGAAACCTCATAGCAGCCTTCCAGTATCTGAAGGGGACCTATAGGGGAGCTGGGGAGAGACTCTTCATTAGGGACTGTAGTGATAGGACAAGGGGTAACGGGTTGAAACTTAAACAGGGGAAGTTTAGGTTGAATATAAGGAGGAAGTTCTTTCCTGTGAGGGTGGTGAGGCACTGGAATAGGTTGCCCAGTGAAATTGTGAATGTTCCATCCCTGGCAGTGTTCAAGGCCAGGTTGGACAGAGCCTTGGGTGACATGGTTTAGTGTGAGGTGTCCCTGCCCATGGCAGGGGGGTTGGAACTAGATGATCTTAAGGTCCTTTCCAGTCCTAACTGTTCTGTGATTCTATATATCCAAACATACATACATATATACTTCAATTATACTTACATGAAGTATAATATTAAAGTTTTGTTTGGAATCTGCCTGTAATATTTACATTCCTACATGTAAACAAACAGTTAGAGCTTCTGTGGTGCCTAATGAAAGTCTCCGTTTGTTAAAGCTTCATGCCCACGTACTCCATGAAATCTGTTTTAGAAGGCATACTTTGCCACAAGACTGATCTCCAGAATTCATACATTTTCACACCAATAGATCTATTAATTTTTAAACTCTAAACCAAATACAACATAAACGAAGAATGACTTGAGGTGAGGAAGGGACTCAGAAGAGGCGGTAGCTAAAATAGACTCTTGCAGAGACTATTTGAGATTAGAGAGTGCTAAAAGGTTTTGTTTGGTCCTAGTGGGGAACTAACTACCCTTCTTATTCTTTCCCTGTTGCATAAGCAAGCAAGAAGCTTTGACTTTGTTGGGATGCATTGACAATATCTGTTAATCAGGGGCAGAAACTTTCATCAACCAAATATTCATGCACTGCATCAGTAATGACTTACTAGCACTTCAAGATTTCTGGAAATTCCTTGGCTGTCATCCTATTACCACTCCCAAGTTGGACTATAAGGAGACTTGGATAGAAAATACTAAAAACCTTTTATTTTGTCTGTAGAGAAAGGACTGCTATAAACTGATGGATGTTATGTTAGAGCTTTTTAAAGACTACCAAGATGAATTGATTGAGAAGGGAATAAGAAATCTAATAAAAGAAATAAGATCCCTCTTAACAAAAGCCATGGGAAAATCTGATGGGGAAAAAAAAATACTACCTGTAAACTTACATACACATATATTATGCTTAACTTTATTTTACAGTTAATAGAATGGTAAATAGTTGACTTCACTAGTCTGAGAATTCCATCACTAAAATGGCTGATAGTTTGAAAATGAATTGAGAAAGATCAATTCATTGGTCTTTGTGATTTCGTATTTGCCTAAAAACCAGCAAATCACAGACAGTACAATGCTGACAATACTTGTTTGGCTCTAAGAAATATTTGTGTGTGCTGTCATGAAACTGAGCACACAGCAGTGGCTTTCCACTGAGGTTGGAATGTTATTAAGAGTACAAAATATTAATGTCATTTAGAGATGTATGTGTACCCTTGCATTTGTTTTTCTGTAAATATTTGGATATCTGCATTCTGCAAGTGGTGATGTTCTGGAACCTCAAATATCATTAAGTCCAATGTCTGCTATTCCAGACAATGGAATATTGTTTAATATGAAAGATGTGGGATGTTAATGAAAAAATATGTGAAGGAATGCCTTTGAGTAAACATATCTGTTTCTCAAACAACATGCTTATCATAAGACTAATTTGAAGGCTTATTGAGAGACAGTAAGCATGAGCAAACCTGGCATGCTGGTTCTTTCCAATGTTAACAAAGACTTGGAGATGATCTCACAATGGCTGCTTGCTTGTCAGCAGGAGTGGTTGGTGCTACTGTCGCTGAGAACAGGCGGCTGCCTTACACACTAAACTTTGACTATTGAAGAAGGTACTGATATTGAAAGAAATAGCCAAAAAGACCCATTGAGCACATTAGTTAGAAATTACTGTGGTAACTAGCATTGATTTGTAACTCACAAATAGTCTCTGTTTGTAAGGACATTTAGACTCACTTGACAGTGACAATAGGTTCTCCATGTTTTTCTCCCTAGCAGCTGGTTGTACATGTGCATTCCCATAGAGATGTAGAGCCTGGCAAAGTTTTCCATGTTGATTTTAGTTTTAGTTCTGTCTTTCTCCACTATTATCAGTCCAGAAAACAGTCATTTGAAACAGCAAGATTTCAGAATATTTTTCTAAATCACATTTCCTTTCAGGAACAATCTGGTTGGAAATACTCCATTACTTTCCATGCCACCAACTGGAAAACAGTGAAATGTCCATGATCAGTATTTCTCCAGTTACACTGTACATTAGCTATTCACTGATTGGTTTTCTGTTTAAGAAAGCTTTACAGCCCCATCATGAACACACAGTTGCACAGGGAAGCTTTTTATTGAACAAGATCTCAACAGGGATTGTTGAAGTCACACTAAAATCTGTGCAACCACCTCTAATTGCAGCGAGTCTAGATGTGCAAGCAGGAAATTCTCCCAGCTAGGCAGAAGAAGACAATTTTATTGCTAGTCTGCCTTGACAGCTCATGGTTGCTTGAGGAAACTGAGCCAAGCTATCGCTTTTAGCATTGCAGGTGATTCACCAGCAGCTGAATCATCCCTGTCCAAGGTTATTACATCCAAAACCCAGGGAGGAGGGGCAGCTGGGAAAAGGAAACACAACAAATCTTCCTCCACTAATTCATGCCATCTGGGAGTGACAGCCCATAGGCCTGCAGCTTTATTTGCAAAATATTGTTTACAGTTTTTATTACAAAGTCCATAGGGAAAAAGACTTAATTTTATTTAACAGCTCATCATCATTACACAAACTGTTGTTCTGGATTCAGCTTCAGAAAACAGGAAGCAGTACTCATAAGATTGGTTTGTCAGGCTGTTTTTTTGCAGACTTTTGTTGTTAAAGGAACAATTAGATGGGAAAATTGGAACTGAACTCACTGTCATGCAACTGGAGTCTTTCAGTGTTAGAGGTCTTTCTGGTGAGCCACAGAGGATATGAGCTGTCGCAGAGTCTTGACTCACCACTTTGTTTGGTGGCAGCCCAGG